GGTAGTGGTGGTGGTGGTGGTAGTGGTGGTGATGGTGGTGGTGGTAGTGGTGGTAGTGATGGTGGTGGTAGTGATGGTAGTGGTGGTAGTGATGGTGCTGGAAGTGGAGGTGGTGGTAGTGATGGTGGTGGTGGTAGTGGTGGTAGTGATGGTGCTGGAAGTGGAGGTGGTGGTAGTGATGGTGGTGGTGGTAGTGGTGGTGGTGGTAGTGGTGGTAGTGGTGGTAGTGATGGTGGTAGTGGTGGTGATGGTGGTGGTTGTAGTGGTGGTAGTGAAGGTGCTGGAAGTGGAGGTGGTGGTAGTGATGGTGGTGGTGGTAGTGGTGGTAGTGATGGTGCTGGAAGTGGAGGTGGTGGTGGTGGTAGTGGTGGTAGTGATGGTGCTGGAAGTGGAGGTGGTGGTAGTGATGGTGGTGTTGGTGGTAGTGATGGTGCTGGAAGTGGAGGTGGTGGTAGTGATGGTGGTGGTGGTAGTGGTGGTAGTGATGGTGCTGGAAGTGGAGGTGGTGGTAGTGATGGTGGTGGTGGTAGTGGTGGTAGTGATGGTGCTGGAAGTGGAGGTGATGGTGGTGATGGTGGTGGTGGTAGTGGTGGTAGTGATGGTGCTGGAAGTGGAGGTGGTGGTAGTGATGGTAGTGGTGGTAGTGATGGTGCTGGAAGTGGAGGTGGTGGTAGTGATGGTGGTGGTGGTAGTGGTGGTAGTGATGGTGCTGGAAGTGGAGGTGGTGGTAGTGATGGTGGTGGTGGTAGTGGTGGTAGTGATGGTGCTGGAAGTGGACGTGGTGGTGGTAGTGGCGGTTGTGGTGGTAGTAGTAGTAGTAGTAGTAGTAGTAGTAGTAGTAGTAGTTGTAGTAGTAGTTTGTTGCTGTTGTATATCTCTGCAGTATTTGAGGCAGGAAAGAACGTTGCATAATACGAGTGGAAGACTCAAACACCAAACAAATGAAGTTCTGTAAAAAGTAGTTGATCAGCCTCTTATGCAACTGAAACTACTCCTGTTATACAACATACCCAAATACACACACGAACGCAGTGCGCAAGTAGCGAGACCCTAGGGTCACGTGGTATGCGCAAACAGACCGTTGTATAACATGGCCACGTGACCGAGAGCTGCCGACACTCTGTGCAGGTGAAGCCGTTCATTCAGTACCCGGCACGGCGTCTGGCGTCCACACTCCACCAGGTAGGTCACTAACGGTGAGTAGTATTCTATATACATTCATCACGCGTTGTGCAGCACGAGCAAGTGCAACCTCTGCAGCTTTGCGGACGATTGTCGGCTGTGCTTCCTTTGGTTCCCCGTTATAACGCGGTCAACAGTCGCCTTGACGGACACCAATAAGACAAGGACACTATTCAGAATATACACCTATTGTACACACACATGATTTAATGACATCGTACATATTAACAATAAAACGTATAAGTTACCCATCATCACATTGTGCTAAAAGTATTTTCCATAAACCTATACGCCAGAGATAGTCCAAAGCTTTTTTAATGATACCACAATACATTTTTTCTTTCTATTTGTTAGAAAATCAATAATTGCATACATGGTAAAATGATGATTTTTTGTGGAATAGTCATGTTGCTTGTGATTCTGACAGAATGTTATTACTTTCAACATAATCATTAACCTTTTTATTCAGCACTGGGGTAATCAATTTTCCGAGGCAACTTATAAGACTTATGGGCCGAAAGTTTCCAGGGCCATCTGTACGTCCTTTAGGTTTGTAAATCGGACGAATAATTCCGTGTTACTAGTGTTCGGGAAACATCCTAGTAGAAATATAACATAAAATAGTCTGGCATACAAGGGTAAAAATGTTGGCACTGAAGGTTTAATATATTCATTGATATGTTATCCTGGCCACATTCCTTGTTATTCTTTTGTACTTTGGTGGCGCGTACAATTTCTTCTTCAGTGTTTGACATATCATTACAATTTTTGACGTCAAAATTAATATTAAGATCAGTCGGATCATCAGGGGTAGAGACACAAAGGGCGGTATCTATTACAGTAAACTACGGTTATAACGAACTCAAAGGGACTACTAATTTTAGTTCGTTATAACCGTAATTCGTTATAAGCATATATACAGCATAACTACAGCATATAGTCGGGACTAAAAAGTTAGTTCGTTATATCCGTTAGTTCGTTATAAGCGTGTTCGTTATAACCGTAGTTTACTGTATATGTTGCCGATAAAACACTGTTCACTGTCTGTTTGATCCTTTTTAGAACTTTCCTGCACAAATTTCAAAACAAAAATTATACACATTGAATGTATTTCAAAATCGGTATCATTAGTATGGTGGGAAATTGTGATAAAAAAAATTATAAACATATATTTCTTTAGAGTGATCCTAACATTATATAATTCATTCCATGTGTCAAGTATCCAAGCGGAGGGTCATTGTCACTCCCTGCATGTATACCTCGAATTAAATACAAAGCGAGGTAAAATGGGGTTTACCGACGTTATATGTGTGTATGTTTGTGTGTGGCTGCTGTTTAATTGTGTGCTTTATGGTGCTAGCACACTGAAATACCATGCCGCAGTTTAATATGGATACCCCACTCAGACAGAGTATGCTGACTCAGAGCCGACCAGCCCGTATTTGATGCTCCAAAATGCCGAGCCAGGCAGGGTAACAACAAGTACCATTTTAACGTATAATGGTATGACGCGGGCGGTAAACGAAACACCGACCTTCCGATATGTGGCGAGATCCTCTATCCACTAAACCACGGAGGCGGTCTGAATAATACAAAGTGAAAGAGTCACTCTAATAACATCTAGGAAACAATTGTTAAAGTTTATGCCTGTTGCCATTAGGGGTTGGGATAGCCCAGTTGGCTAAGTTATGGAGCCCTTTCTTGGTGCACCCGCACTATATTTAGGCTTGAGTGCTATCGACGGACAATAACACAACTGCATCTCTGCAGAGTAGCAGCTGCATTAAAAATAGAAAATGTGTTTACCTATCAAGATGAACGAAAAACAAATATGTATTCCATGCGAAGATTTGGTAGAGCAACGATGTGTAGTGAAAATCATAATTATGGTTTTAAATCTTTATTACTTTTGTGTGTGGACTAAATTGGATCAGGTGATAAGACTTGTCCTGAGAAAATATATGCTGGGTTTTTTTTGTACGGCTCCCGCATGGCAGGCGGTAACATTCCCCAACCCTTCTCTATCTCACACGCACGCACACACGCACACACACACGCACTAACACCCCACCCCACCCCACCCCACCCCCCTCTCCCTCTCTCTCTCTCTCTCTCTCTCTCTCTCTCTCTCTCTCTCTCTCTCTCTGAGTATATTTTGATCCAGTTTCATACAGGCCGCCATTATGTAAGAAAACGTAGAACTGGAATATACAACATGCATCTTACATCTAGAAATAATTATATTTCCAACTAAAGCACTAAAAAGATTTGGATAGATGTTCTGCGTTGATTAAACACCATTAGACATATATAAAAAAAACTTATATAAAAGACATAGCATGTGTTGGAAAATAATTAAAATACAACACCCTGTGAAAACACAATGGGCGATTTCTTACAGAACGTGAATCTTCAGGAATAACGAGGATGAACCTTTCAAGATCGCTTCTGATAGTATGAACACGAGGTAATGGTTACAGATTTCGCGCACCACTGATTAACCACGGTGTTCATGTCCGGTGTGTCACATGGTGTTCAGGTTTTATATCAGTACGCTCCACTGATAATGCGGTGTAACGAGGAGGGTTAACGAACGGCGCGACAGGGGATTTGATGAGCGCGAGGGAGGGAGTCTGCGTGTGAGTGAAGACTAGAAACTCAGGAATGATTGGTGTGGTTGGTAGTTGTTGCCGAAGGAATGTGTTTCCCACGACAATTAGGGGGCAAAATTAGAAGGAAATATCATTTTAACAATAATCAAAAGGCAACATCTAGTCCTGCACCATGACCGTGGACAATATTAATTTTATGTAAAAAAATTAACCTAGAAACGCATACAACAGAAAGTCTAGCCAGCTCAAGCTAGCTCTATTCCACACTGAAATCAGCATAGGGAAAAAATGATTATTTTTAGAGCCAAGAAGGATATTGTGTAATATATGATTTCAGAGACTAAATGTTAGTCTAGGCAACATCTAAAGCAACATTTTGGGTTTTTTTAAGTCAGAAGAGCATCTCACGCACGGACGCACGTACCCACACACGCACACACACACACACACACACACACACACACACACACATATAATATACACAGTCCCTGCTTACAATTAACAGTTTGATTACAGTACAGTAAACTACGGTTATAACGAACTCAAAGGGACTACTAATATTAGTTCGTTATAACCGTAGTTCGTTATAAGTACATTACAGCATGACTACAGCAAGTAGTCGGGACCAAAAAGTGAGTTCGTTATATCCGTCAGTTCGTTATAAGCGTGTTCGTTATAACCGTAGTTTACTGTATAACGGACGAGCTGTATTGGTATGTTCCTTAGGAACCCCTTGGGATTAAGGGCAGAATTGGTCAACAGTACCTAAAACCTTCCACGAGGTCGACGGCATAGTGGTTGTTATAATGTGCGGCCTGCTTGAGATTTTTAGACGTATTCCATTGCCGTGGATCTTTCTTTAGGGCCTTGTGTACAGGCCGCCGTTATGAAACTGGAACCCTGTTGCATGTCCACGACAGTAACCAAGCTTTAGTAGCTCATTCTGTTTTCGGGGTTCATATAATTTGTAATTGACTAAAATATGGAGACCGTCTCTGTATGATTTCAGGACAGAATGGAAGCAGTGATCTTAGTGTTGTCCATCTTCATCTCGCTGTCGGGATGTCACGTGACCCGTGTAGAAGAATTTCATCAACACGCAGATGTCAAGCAGGTAATCTATTCCGCCTGAGATTAAATAATCGAGTCTGGACCAGAGAGTCCAGTGATTGACATCATGAGTTTGGTTTTCCATATTAACGAAGTCTGAAATATCGAGGTTGAACTTATACAGAGATCATTACCCGATTCGTTAATCAGGATTGTTTTAAAACAAGATGTTTTCCCTGAGAACGGCCCCTCCGGTTTAACAGGGTTCAACTTTGTTTTTGTTAGGTGCCACGTTTTGTTGTGTTATGTTTGTATTTGTGATGATACGTAAGGAGTTGACTTCGTTAGTTCCTTTTCAGCTGTAAAATGGCTGTGATAGACAACCCCAGATACGGCTGAGTTGCCTGAACCATTTGGGTTTGTCATGTCATCATGTACACCCGCATTAGGAATTCGTCACTTCTCGCCTCTTTCCGTAACCCACTCGCTATTCGGATTGTCACGGAATGACACGAGTTGATCACGAGTGCATCATCATGCAACCCAACCACTTTTGCGATGTTGACCGCGACATATCAGACTGTTCAGCTCGTGTGAAAGATCGTCATACATCGGGATGAGTTCGTGATAGACTCGCACTTAGCTCCGTTTGTGTTCGTGATACGAGATCGAGGTTGGTTAACTATGTCGGAGATATTTTGGACATGTTCAAAATATCTCCAATACTCGTGTTACATCGTGTCCTGCTCGTGTTATACTCGTGTTGTGCTCGGTATTGTTCGTAGTTAGCGTATATCGTACTACACTCGTAAAGATCTCGTGATGTATTTTGCGTGGATCGATGCTCATGATGTCAATCACTGGATTTTCTGTTCCAGACTCGATTATTTACAGATTGCCGTCATATAGCCGGACTATTGCTAAGTGCGGCGTTAAACAATAAACAAACAAGTTAACGAGTTAAATAAGTCCTCTCGTGCCGGCTCCTGCTGCAAGGTGTCGAAGAAGTCCTCACTCAAGCCTTGCGCTGGACTTGACCGCAACGTCGGTCCTTCTCTTCCCTTCGCTTACGTCTGTGGAGGGGCGGCCGGGTAGCCTAGTGGTTAAAGCGTTCGCTCGTCACGCCGAAACCCGGGTTCGATTCCCAACAGGGGTACAATGTGTGAAGCCCATTTCTGGTGTCCCCGCCGTGATATTGCTGGAATATTGCTAAAAGCGGCGTTAAACCTTACTCACTCACACATACTCGCCTGTCCTGGAAATCACCAGTCAGCTGCTGCTGTGCCATATTACAGCGATAAGCACCGTGTTGTTTATACTGCGAATTCCAATCAAACGCGACAAAAATCGGTCCTATTTCGGTTGCGGTTTAGTCGTGTTAAAGCAATAAACACGTAGAGATCGTATTAATGTCGCTGTAACCTCGTAACTACTCTTACTCAACCCTTACAAAACTAGTCTATATCGTGCCAACATCGGTATGATTTCGTAGTAATTACATCGCGCCGACATCGTGCTAAACTCGTGTTATACTCGTAGTAAGCTCATGATGTGCTCGTACGACATCGTGCCTGTGTCGTGTGTACATACATTCACATACACGTATACCCAGTACGTTGTTTCCCACATCGTGATATATCGCGGTCAACATCTCGAAAGTGGGCGGGTAGCCTGAATTTGCTCTTCGGGTCTAAGAGGACTTTCACCCTTGACTGTGATTTATTATAAGCTTCTGTGTGTCACTCCTTGAAGGGTCACTGTTATCAATGCTCTAGAGACCTTATCGCCAAATCATTGTGTTATATCACTTTTTGTGATACAGTTTGTGTACGGTTCAAAACCCGTATCGATTCTTTATACATAAGACGACGTACTCTGTATGACTGGACTTCGTGATTTTACTCTCTTAACATTACAATATGGTTTATATTAACGGTGACCCGTGAAGATCCGGGGTAGAATAGGTCTTCAGCAACCCATGCTTGCCGTAAATGGCGCCTATGCTTGTCGTAAAAGGCGACTAACGGGATCGGGTGGTCAGGCTCCCTGACTTGGTTGGTGCATGTCATCGATCCCAATTGCGTGGATCGATGCTGATGATGTCAGTCACTGGATTGTCTGGTCCAGACTTGATTATTTACAGACCGCCGTCATATAGCTGGAATACTGCTGAGTGCGGCGTTAAACAACAAACAAACAAATTATATTAACGGACATTCTCTAATTTGGTTACTCAAGTTATATTACCAGAATAGTGTCATTGTCAAAATAAAATCGATAACAAGAATGTTGCCATTGGTAACAACCCTATATTACATCGAACATGATTATTCGTTCGTTCGATAAGATATTCGGAAATGACATATTCCTCTCAAAATGAAATTCGCTAATCCAACTGACTCACTGACATTAGTTTCCGCGTGCTGCGTGTTAGACCTAGGCGGGAATCTTTTACAACAAATAATGCATTTTGAATTCAGGTAGACCCAAACAAAGTATGGTTGTTTGCTGTGGGTGGACGAAAGCGCCCGTACAACTTCTTGTAAGTATACATTTGTCCACTACGGACTTGCGTTCACGGGGAGTTTTATCTGACGATAACTGACGGTGTCATTTGAAACAGCCGCCTTCTCCCGGACATAATTGTTCCGGTTCGTTACAGTCTGACTGTTGCAGCTCTTCTCGCCTCTTGACTTGATTGACAGGTCCAATAAACGTTGTTTGATGCTACTCTCCATTGTTTGGCTAATGACTTTGTGGGCGTGTCAAATTATGTGCATAAATTAAACAATCACCTGTTTCATGTCACGCCACAGTATGTATTCCTGTGCCTGGAATGTTTATCCATCTCATCATTTATATCTGCTTTGATTTATATAATTGTCTCTGGTTAATCTATTGTAACAGAACATGTTTTGGTTGTCGAATTTAATTATAAGGATTGATGAGCAAACTGTATTATTTCGCGTAGCACATCGGTTTTTCGCTTCATACCTCAAGTCACAGTCAATCCTTAAATAATAGTTACGTAGTTGTTTGTACTTATACACTTCATGCGATCTTCACTTGTCCCCTTTGTACTATTTGCAGAGACGACCTGGGACAGCTGACGGGGTTCGATGTTGATCTTGTTAATGCAGGTAGGGGAACCATCGAACCAATCGTATATATGTTACAGTCAATGTCTATGATCGGGCAATATGTATATTGACTGAAAATTTCAGTCTGACAATATCACTCAGCCAGTTTTCTTCAAATTTTCAGCCAATATACATATTGTCTGTAAAATTAGACTGTATTTTAGACTGACTGAAAGGAATACTTAATTTAATCTCATGTTAATTTGGGTCTGTTTGCCCAGGTACCTTTCTGTATACACAAATGTTCCCTGGCCTTGCTACATGTACTGTCCTGAAGTTGTCAGATGTTGAGATGGACTGCACAATTGAAGTACTAGTATGTTGCACACACGACTGTTTAACAAGTATAACTCAGGTATAACTCAGGTATAACTCAAGCATAACTCAGGTACAACTCAGGTATAACTCAAGTTTAACTCAGGTATAACTCAAGTATAATTCAGGTATAACTCAAGTATAATTCAGGTACAACTCAGGTACAACTCAGGTATAACTCAAGTTTAACTCAGGTATAACTCAGGGATAACTCAGGTATAACTCAAGTATAACTCAGGTATAACCGCTTGTACGGGAGCGGTGCAGAGTTGCGTCCCTTAGCCAAGACATGATCTGATGTTCGCAGGTACTAACCCTGATCTGATCCAATTATGATCCTTGGTCACCATAGCCGTGCTCGTTGGTTTCACCATAATAAACATCCAGACCCGTGTCTCATTCCGTCTGCATCAGGCTGAAATGTTGTTCAATGACACATTAAACCTACACACTTCACCAATATTTCTCCGTTCCAGTCTGCACTGTAGCGGGACGGAAGTGTTCCATGGTTCTAGCTGAGTTCACGGAGTGCACCTTCACCAACAGGAACATCAACTACCCAGGGAGAGGTGGGCACCGACCTGTTCGGATTTCACTGACGTGAAGAAAATTCGACAGGAGTCATCTATATCATCTCGAGCACATTAAGCATGACATTTAAAGCAACATAAAATATGTCTGCCTTTGAATATTATATAAGATGAAGTGAATCGGTTGACCCCATCACTTCTTAAAATAATCATAAAAAAATTCCTTCGGTGTAAAATGTCCCTGATATTCTGGAAATCAATCGAGTGAAAATGTTTCAACAATATTTATGGCAAAATGTTTTCTTGAATAATAATGATGATAGTATTTTTATGTTATCTCTAAATCGCTCAGGACTGATGGCCGGATGGTTCGACGCGTGTCCTGGGTACGCCATCACCGCCGACCGCCAGAGCGGCTTCGACTTCACCTCTGCCTATCTCAGCACCGTCTCCACCTTCACTGTGGCGCCTGGAAACCCCGACGGATTCGATCCCAAGGCTGCCGACTACTCCAACTTTACACTCAGTGGGTTCTTTCAAATATATTGAGTTGTGTCATATATAATCTTTAAAAAAGTAGGGAATCTTGAAATATAAATGTTAATAATACCAACTATAATAACAAAGATAAGTGTTTACGCCAAACATCTTCTGCAAGAATGTTTATCTTTGTAAAACATAACATCAAACCACATCCTAGCACCACAATCGTGCAAAGGGTGTCATTCCTGATTTTGACACTTTCAAGTGAAGGTCGATTAATCTGTCAATCTTACTGATTTTGCTTATCATAGAGTTGTATTACTTCATTTCATTCATTGTTTGTGTGACCTGTGAAGATCCGGGGTAGAATAGGTCTTCAGCAACCCATGCTTGCTGTAAAAGCGACTCTGCTTGTCGTTCGAGGCGACTAACGGGATCGGGTGGTCCGGCTCGCTGACTTAATTGATGCATATCATCGTATCCCAGTTGCGTGGATCGATACTCATGATGGCAATCACTGTATTGTCTGGTCCAGACACGATTATTTTACAGACCGCCGTCATATAGCTGGAATATTGGTGAGTGCGGCGTTAAACAACAAACAAACAAACAAACAAACATTGTTTGTGTATGGACTAGCGTCCACGGGCTATTGTATGCTGGAAACAGGCAGAAATAAGCGTGCCGTGGCCAATACGTTCAATGTTTCACAGTCTGTGTTGACGACAGACCCTGTTCAGGGCGTCCCAGGTCAACAACAGGAGTTACAGGATCGAATGATCCGAAACCAGGCTCCACATCGGGCAAAAATGGCGAATCAAGTTGATTCAAACTTTCATCTTAAAAAATCGTCGCCATTCCGCTCATCTTCATCAATGTCAACCTGTAGTTTCATCGCTGATTTCAGTCATGGTGTGGAATGACATCACAGTGACTGAGCGAATCCAACTCCATATAGTACAAGGAAGGGTCACTGGAAAGTAATTTTTGTGAAACATGCTGACACCCTTGGTTGTCAAGTTTGCAAGGCGTGTGGGTCAACGTTTTGTGTTTAAGCGCGACAACGCCCATGCTCACCGTGCATGGACCGTCAATGGTCACCTCCAGTAGCAGAAAATCCATAGGAATGTGATGGCCAGCAACGAGCCCAAACCTTTTCCCCATTGAATACGTCTGGGACATGACAGAGAGACGTGTGCGTCATCGTCATAGGCCGTCTCAACTCCCTAAACGCGCCATTTGGAGACTCATTCGAGTGTATGAATATTTGACAAATCGTGGCGGCATTACGCACTACTGATCCAAAATCGTCAACTTTGAAATTTCCCATTTTACCCCTGTCGTCCTTCAAGATCGTTGGCGGTCAGAACATCTACTGTCATGCTTCATTGCCGGTGTTCCCAATTCGTTCATTATTATCATGCAGCTATTACCAGAAACTAATATATGTTACAAGTTTGGAAATTTTTACTTTTTTTAAGAGTATATTATACAGACCCAAAGTATAAAAATGAAGAGTGGAGCAGCCGATATGAAATTATGAAATGCACGTATATATCGTGTTTTCGTGAGCTTTTATCTTTGTTATTTACTTTTCAGAGTGTTAGGCTAGAGATAGGATACCTTAAGTTCTTTGTACAAGGGTGGTCATATGAAACTCTACACTAATTTATTCCAATGATTCCCGTCCTTTCAGATGATTGTAGAAAAATCGTTAGTTACAGTATTCGAGCAAACAACACTACAGAGGGATTGGACCTTTCCAACTATTATATTAATATGTTTAGTTTGTGTAATCATTTCCGTTTCAAGGATAGATATCTCTCTTCCAGCTCATCTGACAGGCGCCCCTACAAACGCGCAGTGTTTAAACCGTCTCAAGAAGAAGTACGACCGTATCATCGTCGCGGCCAACCTCCCCGACGCCAAGGGACTCCTGCTCAGTGACACGGTAGATTATATTATATTTATATTATTCATAAAATAAAAATATTTAAAAATAATTATATTATTCTGATATTTGAGACTAATCTAAATTTGATTTTTTATCAACAGTAATTCCAAATCAAACAAAAGGTTCTGTTCCGTTGTTACATAAAGACGCAGTTCTTGATCTCACCCAGGCAATATCCCCTGTGAAACGTAGTTCTGGATGGTAAATGTTGATTGAAACATGTTAGGAAAGTCAGGACGATATCGAAACTTTACTGCTGCCATCCGTGTAATTTTTTCGTTATATGAATGCAATGAGTTCAGTACTATTAATGTATAGCATCTAAGCATTCTCTGCTCAACTACCCTGTACCCACGCCATGAAACAAACAAAATAATCAAATAGATTGTAATAACTTCCTCCACAGACCCTCCAACAATGAAACAAACAAAAAGGGCAAAAAAAATAAAAACTTTAAATGGTAAGAAATTTACAAAAGAAAGATAAGAAAAGTACGAAAAATAAATACCATGGTCAATCTTTTCGCTTCAGGCCCAGGCACTATTTTCTCCGCGGACGAATATCACTGGTCTTGACACTCTGCCCAACATTTTCTCGTGTGACGAGGGCGGGGCCGGGGTCATGGTCAAGAAGGGGAGTGAACTCCCAAGTTGGTGGAATCCAGCGTTCCAGTCTCTCTATTTGTCTGGCGGTTACAACTCCCTGTGTACTAATGCCCAGGTCAAGTATAATTGTGAGTATACAATCAATCTCATATCACTTTATAAGGGAACTGCATTCCTCACTTAAAGTTAATAGTTTTACCAAACACCTGCTTATGGGTCATGGACAGAAAAAATAGTATTTTTTAACGGAATTTCTATGACATAATGGAGTGACTGAGTGAGTGATTATTGATTTACTACGTCGTAACGGCAATTTTGTATAGAACAAAATGGAAGATCATAAATACATATGTTGTCATTGATTATATTTAGCTTAATATAACACACACACACACACACACACACACACACACACACACACACACACACACACACACACACGGACACACACACACACACACACACAAAGCGGCGTAAAATCATACTCACTCAGTCACACACTCTTTCAGATAAGGTGAGATGCCTGCCGCCTCCTGCATCACAGCCTCAAGAGGTCTTGAAGACGGACAGCCTTAATCCCTGGTGGCGAGACATTAAGACTAGACGCAACCATTAACTCAGGAAGGACTCTTACAGATATTTGTATTTCAACACTCAACTTCTACATACAGTCAACCCTGACCAACATACGAAACATCTTTAATCCGGATGTTCCCGGTAAAAGCGTCAAAACTAGCACAATGTCCGGATTTAACGAGTCATGGTTAAGGATTGTCAGCCCATCGTATACACGTTCCAGCAGGTATATTTTAGGGGTGTTTCCGGATTTGCGGGGTCCTGAATAACGAGGTTACATTGTACACAGTTCTGCCACAGATATCTGTTTACCTGAAGTATCCATCGTAGTCCTGGACACCAGTACCTTGCTGTATTAATAGATCAGATGGTAGAGCCATTCACTGCCGTATTCGTACCAGACACTCCATGCATTGAGAAATCTCACTGGATGAAAAAAATGTTTTTTCTAGTGTTCTAATTTTAGCGTAGGTCGTAGTTTTGTAGTTATATAAGAAGAATGATGCAAGTTAATAGTAAGAATCTCCAATGTTTCTATCCTGTTTCAGTTCATCTGTAGTCCCTTGATCATTTGATTCTCACAAGTTTATATTATTTTTAGTTTCAGAATAGCTTTTGTTCTATTTTATATATATTTTATATTATAGTATATAATTCAAATAAAAATATACATGTATTACTAAAAAGGGTTTGTCGTTCTGTTTTTATTCATACATTTAATTATTCGCAACGTGATGATCATTCAAGACATATTCTGCTGACATGATCATCTAATGTGTAATGTCTCTCGTTGAGTAATACATTATACCCTCCACACGAGGTGAAATAATCGAACCTTGGCGATAGTCGTAAGTCTATGTTAAATACGGCATTTGAAGATCTGTTTGTCCAATGGACTTAGTTTAGCGGCAGCGAGAACTCAGATCTGATTTTAATGAGATTGGTCAAATGGTTTCCCGGATCAGACAGTTGGCGATTGAAATCGTGCTTACAGCGATCCACGCCGACGGAGCACGACGACACAACGTCAACCCAGTCACAATCCTGAACACCCGATCCAATAATTCGCTCTTGCGACCAGCATATGTCGCCGGGGATCCTGACGATCTCGTCAAGTAAAATCTTTCACAACATCACTCATTACAACGCACCTGGCAAATAAGTCCAGCACGTGAAACGATGTAAGGTAGACGAGCTGACGACGCACTAAGGGACGTTACTCTTATTTCTTAACGCCCGGGCTGATGTCGATCGCCCATTCAAAATGCATTGACAAGTCATATGAGCGCGGGGGTGTAATATGGGTCTGGTTATTATATCCCTTGTGATATGACCGTGACAGCGTTGCTATACCGCAAAATGCCTCATATCACTGACATATATGCTAATAATATATGATATATCATATTAGTTTACCATGGGTGGAAAAACGGATACCATTCCTTGGCCCTAAGCATATTTTAAGAAGTGTCGTTGCACACGAACACTCAACTATTCCGGCCCGATGGAAGGGAGGTAACTCTTGTATGATTTCTTAATGCCTCCCCACTTTCCAGTGTTGTTGTCTCCCTTTCACTATTACATGCCGTCGACATTACTGACTAATTCTACTTTATTAAGCGATATCTTTCTATCATGTGTTGTTAAAAACAATTCGTTAAGTATATGTGTGAATCAAACTTGTGAAACTGGTTTGCCAATTTCCAATTGATGAATAAATTATATTTACGGCCACAGCAAATTAATTATTTGTTCTTTGGAATGTTTTGTCAAGTACGTTTCATACCTTTTTGCAAGTAAAAACGTCCTCTAATTAACTGCACGTATTTGTTCTAGTCTCTCCTACCCTGCTTGTTGGGTGATACTCGTGTCGATACTCAAACCTTCGTCCACCAGTTTTTACAAAAAAGATTATGTAACGTGTGGACGTGCACAAGGGGTATTTATATTTCAGACAATTCGATTTGCATTTTATTATTGTTTTAAATGTGTCCTGACAAGGTTCGCACCTCACGCTCAGCCTGCCAACAGCCTTCTTTGACTGGTGTTATGTGGTGCGACTTTCAGTGGCAACTGTCATCCTGTCTGTAATGTATTGTGTATCTTTTGCATAATGAAATCCGATACATTGTGATGAACAGCCCCGTTTCACAAAGAAAACGCAGCTTTATGACTGTCGTAAGTCTATGTTAAAGTAGACCCGTGAAGATCCGGGGTAGAATAGGTCTTCAGCAACCCATGCTTGCCGTAAAACGGTGACTATGCTTGTCGTAAGAGGCGACAAACGGGATCGGGTGGTCAGGCTCGCTGACTTAGTTGATGCATGTCATCTATCCCAATTGCGTGGATCGATGCTCATGATGTCAATCACTGGATTGTCTGGTCCAGACAGCCATCCATATAGCTGGAATATTGCTGAAAGCGGCAATAAACAACAAACAAACTATGTTAAAGTATAGGACTTACCATGGTCGTAGGGCAACGATCGCTTTAGCAAATAGGACCGCGCAAGTGATATGTATAAAGATTGTGTGTGAAAGCGTTCCCGGTCTAATTCAAGTAGTATGAAGGGAGATAACTCTTACGTTCTTATTTGAGTTCGTATTCCACAATTTCATTCATTCTCATCCCCGACGTATGTTGTGTACCTTTAACGTCATCCGTTTGTAATACTTTCGCGTAATTCGCTTTGAAACTTTGTTGCCATATCAACCCAAGTGGTGGCGTTTTGTGTCTATGGTTTTGAAGTAGTTGATACTGGCGCTTTCATCTTCGGCAATCGATGATGTGTCCATTACAAAAGAAAACGAAATAAACTTATTCAAGACACCTTACACACAATAACCTAGTGGTGAATACCTTGAACAGTATATCATAGCATATAACGGTTATGTCAAAGCTGTTAAATAGGTAGTCAGTTTGACACTAGACCCATGCAAATCCGGGGAAGAAAAGGTCTTCAGCAGCCCATTCTTGCCATAAAAGGCAGCTTTGGCTGTGGTAAGAGGCGACTAAAGGGATCGGTTGGTCAGACTCGCTGACTTGATTGATGCATGTCGTCGTATCCCAATTGCGTTGATCGATGCTCATGATGGCAATCACTGGATTGGTCCAAACACGATTTATTTATTTATTTACAGACCGCCGTCATATAGATGGAATAATGCTGATTGCGGCGTTAAACAACAAACAAAAAAGTTAGACACTATTAATTGGACATCCGTTCGTTAGACATTTTAAAATAACACAATGCATGGTTGACTGAACAACTCAACTGACTGTTTCCTCAGGATGATAATGGGATGATCCAGTTCATGAAAAACGAAAACCGGCTTGAAGAGTAAGGTTATTTATTTCGATGTTATGGACCTTTTCTAGGAAGGATTCTATTAGGATTTGGGGGCAGGGTGGCCCAGTCGTTAAAGGCGCCGCGATTCGCTGTGCAGAGTTGCGTCCCTTGGGCACGCCAGAAACCTATGATTGTGGGTTCGAATCCCGGTTCGCCCCAATTATGTTTCTAGGTTTGTCAGCACCATACCCGTGCTCATGGGTTTCACCGAAGTGGTAAACGTTTGAGACCTGCATCACTTCGGGCTTTCCTCCCCCATTAAGCTGACACGCCGCGATATAACTGGAATAATTTTAAAAGCGGCGTTAAACCACACTCACTCACTCACTATTAGGATTTCACCATGTTGCATGGTGAATAAACATTGATATATAAATTGTACATGAAGCAATAAGGCGAAGTCGGTGGCCAGCACCTTGGAGGTACAGTAGTGAAAGAACAGCCTTGATGACACCTAATTGGTTGGCTACTCCGAGCACGGGTGTGGCGTGGAGAGCTAGTTTCTTTTCATAGTATAAGCTGACTTTTGAAATTTGAATGTTAATTTTATAGAAACAAACCCGAATTAGAGAATAAATTTAAAGAGTTCCGAAAAACTAACGTAACATTTTGATGCCACTCTAACGATACACTCTCGTCATATACGATGCATGTAAACTTGGCAACTGCTAGGTGAAACGACGTGTAAAAAAGGAAATACCAAGACTCCCAACTGCAACACGAGTTAATTACAGTAAAAGTGGCTTGAGATATCTTGTACATGTCGTCGGACTCTAGTAATTTACAATCATTTATTTTCATACAATATTACATATCCTTCTTGTGGCGTCTAGTATTAATACACATGTGTACAACATGACGATGGTTACTCGTTTAGCGGTGCACCGGCCCTACGTTTATTACAAAATAAAACACTGTGTTTGTGTCATACCGTGGTGCATAGTTCTTGTTTTAGATGTGAAAACAAACACCTTGTGCTGTATATGTGTCTGAAAGATGAAAATGACAATAAACGTGTTTCGGGAGAACATAACTATAAGTCGTGTTTTAGGTACTGTAAACCGGTGTTAATGAGTGGCTAAAAGTTTCTCAGAAATATCTATTCTATTCGGTTAGCATTATATAATCGGTTTGTTTGTATAATCAGTCGCAATCCTGTTGTTTAAAATATTTTCAAATAGCGAAATATAGTTTCAAGACTTTTCTACTGGCCCTCCTCCAAATTCCCCATTGGTATTCGATCATGGACATATTACGAGCGTTCGAAATGGGATTCGGGTGGCCACTTTTAATATTGCCGGTGACGTGCGGAGCCTTGGTTTAATGTTCACGTCACCGCCCAGTGTTTGTACCATGTAGTGTTCAGGACAAGATACGCGGAACACATCATAGTGTTCATCACGATGGTCTCTTGACCTCACTTCCGTTTCTAGTTGAACTTCCGATGTTGCGCGTGAGCACTTGTCGACTTGCCGCTGCGTAGTATGGCGCGTGGTTATACCAGGCCTATTGTCAGTGAGTTTAAGAGGGACTGTTTGAAGTCATATTAACCACTGTCGACAAATGTTTTTTACTGTTGTTTGAGGAGATACCAACTAAGCCTCTGGACCACTTGAGGCCGCAACTAGCTCGACGTCACGTTAACGTTGTGACGAGATCAACGTCTTCAAAGCACGAGCCTTGTAACCCATCGAGTGTCCGCAGGTATTTTATGCTTTAACTTATACCTTCTTATATCATGTCATCATGTGATCATCATCATCAAATAAAGTTTATTTGATTACATTTTAAAACTGAAGTCTCGAACAAAAAAACACTTTGTGATGAGATCAACGTCTCATTCAAATCTCACACACATACGAAACACAGTTAACACAGACACACATACACAATACAAGTAGCACGCTAAATATAATGAAGATACACACACAATACAAGTAACACGCTAAATATAATGAAGATACACACACAATACAAGTAGCACGCTAAATATAATGAAGATACACACACAATACAAGTAGCACGCTAAATATAATGAAGATACACACACAATACAAGTAGCACGCTAAATATAATGAACATACACACACAATACAAGTAACACATGCACACAATATAATGAACATATACACAATACAATTAACACATGCACACAGTATAATGAACACAATACAAGTAACACAATGTCATGCACACAATATAATGAACAGATACATACCAACAAGTAACACATGCACACAATATAATGAACAGATACACACAATACAAGTAACACATGCACACAATATAATGAACAGATACACACAATACAAGTAACACATGCACACAATATAATGAATAGATACACACAATACAAGTAACACATGCACACAATATAATGAACAGATACACACAATACAAGTAACACACGCACACAATATAATGAACAGATACACACAATACAAGTAACACACGCACACAATATAATTAACGGATACACACAATACAAGTAACACACGCACACAATATAATGAACAGATACACACAATACAAGTAGCACGCTAAATATAATGAAGATACACACACAATACAAGTAGCACGCTAAATATAATGAACATACACACACAATACAAGTAACACATGCACACAATATAATGAACATATACACAATACAATTAACACATGCACACAGTATAATGAACACAATACAAGTAACACAATGTCATGCACACAATATAATGAACAGATACATACCAACAAGTAACACATGCACACAATATAATGAACAGATACACACAATACAAGTAACACATGCACACAATATAATGAACAGATACACACAATACAAGTAACACATGCACACAATATAATGAACAGATACACACAATACAAGTAACACATGCACACACTATAATGAACAGATACACACAATACAAGTAACACACGCACACAATATAATGAACAGATACACACAATACAAGTAACACACGCACACAATATAATTAACGGATACACACAATACAAGTAACACACGCACACAATATAATGAACAGATACACACAATACAAGTAACACACGCACACAATATAATGAACAGATACACACAATACAAGTAACACACGCACACAATATAATGAACAGATACACACAATACAAGTAACACACGCACACAATATAATTAACGGATACACACAATACAAGTGACACACGCACACAATATAATGAACAGATACACACAATACAAGTAACACATGCACACACTATAATGAACATATACACACAATACAAGTAACACACGCACACACTATAATGAACATATACACACAATACAAGTAACACACGCACACAATATAATGAACAGATACACACAATACAAGTAACACACGCACACAATATAATGAACAGATACACACAATACAAGTAACACACGCACACAATATAATTAACGGATACACACAATACAAGTGACACACGCACACAATATAATGAACAGATACACACAATACAAGTAACACATGCACACACTATAATGAACAGATACACACAATACAAGTAACACATGCACACACTATAATGAACATATACACACAATACAAGTAACACACGCACACACTATAATGAACAGATACACACAATACAAGTAACACATGCACACAATATAATGAACAGATACACACAATACAAGTAACACATGCACACAATATAATGAACAGATACACACAATACAAGTAACACACGCACACAATATAATGAACAGATACACACAATACAAGTAACACATGCACACAATATAATGAACATATACACACAATACAAGTAACACACGCAATGTAAGTCACGCGCGCACACACACACACACACACACACACACACACACACATGCATAGGCAATACAAGTAACTCGCGTGCAATAAATAGCAAAAATATATATCTGAGATCGCAAATACATGTAGTGATTTGACCGCATAATCTGGACTGATTTCAATAACAGTGTCTCCTACATGTAATTTACGTAATGGGGTCACTGACACATCTTGCTGAAGCGGACAATAGCAAAGCACTTGAAACAGGAGAAGAGGAACATTCGTCATTCTCCCGCCAAGTATATGTAGACAGAGCGATATGAATTAACTCACCATAGAAAACGTTATGATGTTTGATGACGTCACCGATGATGGAAGCAGGGATTGGTTGACCAACAAATTCACAGAATCGTGACATTTTAGGTTTCTGTTTATGGCATTATTTAGGGTTTTTCTTATTAAATTTAATCTTAATTTGTAATGTTGGTACTTACCATTGCTCGACTATTGCTGAAAGCGGCGGAAAACCATACTCACTTACTCACTTACGGGCAAAGAAACATTAGAAAGAATAAACCAGTTGATAAAATGTGACTCATACTCCCATTTCTTGGTGACCCCATACGTACGTTTGACCGGATACGCCAAGAATTATTATCGCTTCTTGGAAAAGTATTTCATCTATGTTACGTGTTGTCCGTTTAATGTATAAGAAGGAAATCCTGAAGTGATGCAGGTCAAACACGTTTCCCACTCTGGGGAACCCCGGAGCGGTGGGGTAGTCTAGTGGTAAATGCGTTCGCTCGTCACGCCAAAGACGTTGGTACAATGTGTGCAGCCCTTTTCTGGTGTCCCCCGACGAGATATTGCTGGAATGTTGCTAAACACGGTATAAAACCATACTCATTCACTGGGGAAACCCACGAGCACGGATATGGCGCATAGAAACATATTCATATATACGTAGATTATGCAGAGAACGTTACACGTATGTGCTGTATAATACTTTCCCCCATGCGATATGTCTCGACAACAGCTGGACAACTTACAAATATTCAAGTAAGCTGCTACAACAAAAGACATTAAATCACGAGTACATAACCTGCTTAACACTAAAATACACTGTTGCAAGATCGAGGTTTTATATGAAAAGATATTTAAGTTCATAGTTTTGATTTAAAAATATCTTGTTTTGCAGCTGGAAAATCCCAGCACCTTCCAACCCACCCCTACACCCACTACCACACCCACACCCACACCCACACCCACACCCACACCCACTCACCCCAATCCAGATTATCAAAAGGTCGGTCCCAAAGTCGTTGTCTAGTTTGTTGCGATGCCATCTACTCCAGTCATGTGATAAGACCTATAATAGTCCTAACATCAATGTTACCCTAGATTAATATTAGTTCATAGCCAATTTTGAATATACTCACATACATAACGGCTCTGTGTATTATTTCCCACCATTATGCTGGTACAGTTCGTAGAGCTTGGCTATATTTAAGAAATAAAAGACGAGTTGGAGTTGCTTATCATACAGTAAAACACTGCGGGGAGACAAAACCACGAGAGGCGCATCCCTGAGTGGTTTATTCTCCCTGCTGTGCTTTAATGTACGATAAACGGACGAGTCGTTTTATTTCTTATATGAAATACCAACATTATGTTCAGCCTCTTTAAGGTTTATTCTCCCTGCTGTGCTTTAATGTACGATAAACGGACGAGTCGTTTATTTCTTATGTAAAATACCAACATTATGTTCAGCCTCTTTAAGGTTTATTCTCCCTGCTGTGCTGTAATGTACGATTAACGGACGAGTCGTTTATTTCTTATGTGAAATACCAACATAATGTACAGCCTCTTTAAGGATGTTGAGACAATGTACAAGGTGTAAAAATATATACCCTTGTCTAAATATTGATGATTCCCTCAATTGAACCTCAGCAATGTCGGACAAATCCATTTTATGCCCAGGCTGGTATTTCCTGCATATTGTCACAATTCTCACGTTCGATTACTTGTACCTTTTCTCCCAATATCGATCATGAAATATAAGATAAATCACAAAAACACAATGAAGAATGAAGCAGGGTTTATTTCACGATAAAACATTGTGCTTTCATGACGTCATTTCTGGAGATTCGAACATGCACTCGCAACTTGATGACGTTATATATTGGACGACGGTTTTTTTTTTAGGGATGTGTCTAGTAAGTTGTTCCCCGTAGATGTACCTGAACTACGCATAGAAACGAAGTGACCGAAAAGTAGGAGATATATCACAATCGGTATTAGGAGAAATGGTACAGATAATCGACGTGAGAATTGTGAGAATATGCGAGAAATACCAAACTTACCCACCTGTTCGTAAAATTGTTTTGTCCGACATTTCCGAGGTCGGATTCTAGTGAGGGAGTCATCACTATTAAAACATGTGTAAATATTTTAAAAGCATGTTCATTTTATCAACATCCTTAAGAGGCTGTAAATAATGTTGACATCTCATATAATAAATAAACGACTCGTGGTCATTGTTGATCGCCCCTCCTGGTTTATTCTCCCTCCGGTGTTGTATTGTACGCTAAACAACAACCACTCGTCGTTTATTTTTTAAGTAAACCACACGTCGTTCTTCTTTGATCCTTGCGATTTATCTCGTAGCTAACTTGTATTACTTTTTAAACCTGTAAAGAGAAGCTTTGTAAAAGAAATTTATAATTTGGCTAAATATTGCAATTTGACGTGGCCTAACCAGGAACATTGTCGAGTGAATACCAGACATAAGGGGCGTTTCCTTTGCGTGTTCCATGTAGTGTTTGTATGAACTGCGTCGTGAGTTAAATATTAAATCACACCCAGCGCCCACCATTTTTCGCACATGCGTGTTTGGTTACAGGAAGCACCTTGTCACATGCG